GGGAGTTTTCCCCCATTTTATGACATTTCTTGCCATGGTTGTTGAGTGAATCACTGCAGTTGCTAAGATACTAACATGGTTGTTAAGTGAATCTGGTTTCCCCATTGACTTTGCTTGTCAGAAGTTTGCAAAAGGTGATCACATGACCCCCGGGGACACTGCAATTGTCATAAATATGAGTCAATCGCCAAATGTCTGAATTTTGATCACATGACCCTGGGGAGTCACTGAGGTTGTAACTTCGAACAGCCACTAAATGAACTGTTGTAAATCAAGGACTATCAGTACAAGCATGCTGATGATCGAGCAATGACTGTTCAGGAAAAAACATTTGAAGAGGTTGAACTGAAGTCCTGGTAGAGCTGGATCAATACTATTGTGATAACCAGTTAAGACCAAATCCAGCAAAAACTCAGGTCTGTGCCTTCCATCTTCACAATAAGCAAGCTGCTAGGAAGCTGCATATTATATGGAAAGGGATGTTATTGGAGCATTGCCATAGCCCTAAATATTTAAGGGTCACTCTAGACTCTACACAGGGGCCCTAACATATAAGCAGCACAGTACCAACACTAAATTGAAGGTCAGTGGATGAAATAATATCCTCAGGAAATTAGTGAGCTCTACCTGGGATGCCTAATGCTGGGAAAGACTGAGGGCAAAAGAAGAAGGGGACGACAGAGAATGAGGTGGCTGGATGGAGTCACTGATGCAGTCGGTGTGGGCTTAAATGGACTCTAGAGAATGGTAGAGGACAGGAAGGCCTGGAAGAACATTGTCCATGGTGTCGCGATGGGTCAGACACAACTTCACAATTAACAACAACAACCTGGGATGCTTAATCCAAGGGTCTTTAAGACAACAGCTCTAGCTCTTTGCTACTCAGCAGGCGAATATGCCTGCCTAATCTGGTATAAATCAGCACATGCTGAGAAAATAGTTGTTACTCTGAATGAAGCTAGCAGAATTATTACTGGATGAGTTAAAGCTATCCCTCTAGATAGATCTTCCACCTAACCAGCATCACCCCGCCTGCTGTTTGCAGAGAAACAGCAGCATACACAGAGAAACTCAAATCATCACTATCTAGACAACACCCTCTCTGGCCTACAATCATCTCAGCATAGACTAAAATCCAGGAAAAGCTTCCTTAGGTCGACAGAAGATCTGAAGAATTTGAAAGTAGAGTGGATCTATGGAAAGCTACAAAGAAGCAATACTGGATGGAGCCAGCAGAGGAGCTGGCACCTTTGGTCTGACGAAAGCTGGGAAGTATGGAAATTATTGCATAGCCTATGCATAAGTACAACTAAAAGTCAGAGACACTCTGAACAAATGGGGCTATCTGGTGGCTTCTGTTCTTCGCAATTGTGGTGTCATGCAGACAACAACACATATTTATACTGCCCTTTGTGCTGTAGTAGGTTTCAATTTAGTTTGCTACCGGTGTGCTCGTGTGTGCGCACTCACACACACGTGCAAAGCTTCTGTGCATACGCAGAAGCGTCCGGGTTGGTGGGCGGAGCCTCCCGCCGCCACCACTACCGCCACTACCGGTTTGCTCAATCCAGGGCGAACTGGTAGCAACCCGGTAGCAACCTTCCTTTGTGTCCCGATCAGTGTATACTTGAGGATCTCATGGCAGCGCGACAGAACACAACATAGCTATATTCTAGGCAAGATTTGTTTAATTTGTACATATTTTAATCTAGTACTTTATATTTTAAATTTTATGCCATATAGTATGTCTTATTTTAATTGTGATACTTCTGACATGAATAAACAAACTTCAAATGGTGATTAAATGAACGGTTGTAAGTTGGAGACCACCTATATAGTGCCCACTTCAACACAGTAATATGTTTTGTGTAATTGCATCATAAAAGAATGTAGTATTACAAAGCTGAAAGGGTTTAGCTCGTCGCTTGAGTCTGGCCCCTTGCTCTGTGGAGGAACCATAATGGATTTTTTTAATCACAATGTTTAATCACAAGACATTATAGAGATAAACTAATGCAAATTACAAAAAAATAAAAGTGCAAAATGATAAAGGAAAAAAGAAAAAGGGAAAGAAAAAAGAAAAAAACCCTTTCGACCCCAGCAAACATATTTACCATTAACAGCTTATCACCATTTCTTAAAACATACCCAACTATCTCTTCATCCTATCTCTATATCACACCCCATTCTCTATGAACAAATATTGAAAAGCTCATCACTCTATCTTGATCAGCAAAAGTCCATTAAGGGTTAAGAACATAACAATTGCAAATTCTATTTAATAAACCTACTTTGAACCTTACCTTTTACAATCAACAAATTCCCCCCAACTCATTTCTTTAAATAAACAAAACCTTTTAAACTTCATCATCTAGGTCAGTATTGGTGAACTTTTCAGCACTGAGTGCCAAAACGGGAGCATGCAGCACACATGGGGGAGCACCGGATACCGGAAGAGCAGCTCCCCCGTGCACATGTGCAAACTGGAAGAGCAGTTCCCTGGCACACATATGCGCACTGGGAAACTGAGCTTGCGGTTTCCGGCGTGCATATGTGTGCTGGTCATCTGGTCTTCCGGTTTCTGGCACAGATGCACATGCAAAGACCATCTGGTCGGTGCACATGTGCATGCCAGAACCCAGAAGAGCAACGGGCGACAGCTGGCATGCCTGGAGAGATGGCTCTGCATGCCACTTCTGGCACGTGTGCCATAGCTTCGCCATCACAGATCTAGGTCAAGTCCACATATAGCCATTATGCATTGCCAGAAATGGCAATCCATCTATTTTAATCTTGATCAAGTAAACTAATTCTGTATTTTCCACCTTTCTCAGGACAATCTAGTCTCCTCAGATAGTATCCAAACTTTTCTTTTTATGCTCTTTTTGTTTTCTCTCACAAAATCTTTGGCAACTTTAAGAAGCCCCTTTTGTAGATCCAGTATGGAGAGGTTATCCATGTCACTTTTCCTATTTTCATGGTCTCTTTTCCCCAAATCATTAAAAGCTTTATCAAATCTCTTTGCAAATAGAAAGTTATTCTCATCAATCTTCTGGTTTAGAATTTGTATATTTGCATATCCTTTTAAATTGTTAAAACATCAGCCAATTTGACTTGTATATCCAACAGTTCATCTTTTCGTGTATCATCTTTTTCTATCTGCTTATTTATTTTTAAATTCACATTTAGATCTATTTTAGCTTTATTTGGTAAAATTTTGTTTCTCTTCCATAACATCATCCAGTTTATCTATTACGGCATATAACTTTCTAATTATATTTTGTGCCTCAAAACCATAGATAAATCTCTGTCGATCCATTGATGCATTCATTTTCTTCTGGTGCCCTCTAGTGATGAACTTTCAAAGTTACTTCGTCAGTTATTTAAATGTAAACATAGAAAGTATCCCATGAGAAGAATTTTTAATTAACTTCAAAATTTTAATTCAAGTCTATCTAAACCCTTAATACATTTAAAACTTTCTAAAATTAACATTGGAACCATTTTTGCTGTATATTCCCATAAACATTTCTTTAAAAACACTTAAACTTGTAATGTTTTCTTTCTTAAAGGATTAAAGAAAAAAACACAACCAATGAATACAATAAAACTTGCAATACTAAAGGTTTTCAATCTTTAAAAAGAAATTGAGAATTAAGGAAAAGGAAAATCCAAAGTGATTAAGAAGTGAGATTTGCCTGAATCTTCGATCCATGAAGCTATGTTAATGATGCATGATGAAATCCTAAAATTCCCAGCTGATTGCTATCAGCCACAAAAACCCTGCTATCTGTTCACATAAACTATGTATGGAATATATGTAGTTTTCAGAAGTTCTCTCCTTTCTCCAGAGAGATTTCAGGAATCTAGATCCAGCATCTAGCTGCCATTTTCTTCCATTGTTTCTCGCTGATCTGTGCAATGTTAATTCTCCATTTTCTCATCAGAAACGCAGTGGAGGAACCCTCATTAAAGAATCTCCAAACAAATAGCTACCTAATCCCATTTACATTCATCCAGTTGCTGAATACATCAGCCCAGGGATGAAATCCAGCAGGTTCTGACAGGTTCTGAACCGGTAGTGGAAATTTTGAGTAGTTTGGAGAACCGGAAAATACCACCTCTGGCTGGCCCCAGAGTGGGGTGGGAATGGGGATTTTGCAGTATCCTTCCCCTGGAGTGGGGTGGGAATGGAGATTTTGCAGTATCCTTTCCCTGCCATGCCCACCAAGCCACGCCAACCAAGCCATGCCCACCAGGAGTGGGTTCTACTTACCTTTACTACTGGTTTGCATCGTGCTCGTGCATGCTCTTCTGCGCATGCGCAGATCACTTATGATGACGTCCGGGTCAGTGGGTGGAGCCTCCCGCTAGTTTTACTACCGGTTCTATAGAACCGGTCCGAACCGGGGGCAACCCACCACTGATGCCCACAGAAGTGGTAGTAAAAAAATTTGGATTTCACCACTGCATCAGCCCCTTTTCATCACAATCTTTTTAATAGTGCAGAAGAGGCAGATGAGATGGTATTTTACACACACACACACACACACACACACACACACACACACACACACACACACATGTCTCTACCCTGCTATATGTATGAAAGGGTTAAGCTGGAATAGCCAAAAATACTCCCTTTGGAACAGTGGTGGGTTTCACTTACCTTTGCTACCAGTTCGCTCGCACGCGCATGCTCACTTTGCTCATGCATTACTACTTCTGTGCATGCGCAGAGCATATTTGATGATGTCCGGGCAGGTGGGTGGAGCCTCCCATCACCGCTACTACCAGGTTGCTTGAAACAGGGCGAACCAGTAGCAACCCACCACTACTTTGGAACTGTTTATGCTAATTACTCATCGTATTATTCCAGTGGCCCAGGAAAACTTTGTGGCTTTTCCTTTACCAATCTAGCTATATAAACCATGTACATTATTGCCTATTGCTTATGTCTTACTCTTTCACTGCTATTGCCTTTTATCCTATTTTGCCAGTTAACCCTTTTGTTGATTGTTGATGTTGTTGCTACCTGAACTGAGTGCTTTTGCTCTCATCTTGTTATAGGGATTGACTGGGAGTGTATTGAGTGCAAACTAATATCGGAATTAGAATAATTTTTTCACAGCAGTAAAGGAGGAAAAAAGAAATCTGTGTGATAGGATAAAGAAGAATTGAAGAAAAATCAAACCCCATGACAATGTTTTATTGAATTAAAGATCAAAACTGTTAGAAGTAAAAGGAAGGAATATAAAGTTGGTTTATCTGATCAAGTTTAAAATAAGACTTTTTTTTCTTTTGCAATGTTCTGGAATTTTATACTGACACTAGGATTGAAAATTTGATGTTTTATTTATTTGCTTATATATAGGGAATGGAATATGGGATGAAGAGATATCTGTTTAACCTTGTGGTGGTTGAAGAGTTATTAAATTTGTTTATGCTTGTGATTAGGGTTGAAAGTCATTTCTTTACATATTTTTCTTTTTCTTTATTATATTGTTTTCTTTCTTTTTTTCCTGCATTTTTATTTTTTCCATCTCTTCTTTTTCCATGTTAAATTTATATTAGATTTTTACTATTGTAATTAAAAATTCTTAATTTTTTTAAATTGAAACATATACGTAAAACATATACTTCAAACAAGGATTTCACTTTTTTGTTTTTCAATTACAGTTGAAAAAAATTACGGTTCAATTACAGAGAAATACTGATGATCACTGTAATTATGAAGAGAGTAAAACTGACACCAGGCAGAGCCTATAAATACAATATTACTATTTCCTAGGGCCTGTTTAATGTCATTTTCCAGAATGTCTGGCTCTACTTAGTAATCAGATATTCATCATGAATCTGGGAATATTTTTGTTCAGTGTTTTTTATATTCACACTGTTAAGTTGGGTGAATGAGGACGCAGCAAGCCAGAGTAGCTCGTGACAACAGCTCTTTATTATATGATGAGACTTCAGCGACTAAACCTGGGAGCCAGCTCCCTTTATATACCTTACAACAGTAGTGGTCAGCCAATCAGCTGAGGGTCAGTTATTTCGAACTTCCCGCCAAAACAAACCTATTTACATAACACTCCTCCCCTCCCAGAAGTCACTTGGGGTGTTATTTACATACAAAGTCTCTCAGGTGACTAGGGCGTGTACGAGTCCTAGTTGACCTGCGCAGTTCAGTCGGAGGGGCGGCGTCGAGCAGGTCGGAGGGACTTTCTGTTTCTCCCTGCTCCGCCAATGAGGCCTCCGGGACCTCCTCATGGGCGGCGACTTCTCCGGCTGTTTGGACTACCCCGATGGGGCGGCGCTGGATACCAGAATCCTCAGCTAAGTCCTCCGCTCTACTCGGGCTTGTGTTTTGTGCTTCTGGCTGGTAGTCATGGTCAGAGGTGGGGTCGTCTAACTTGTCGTCGGTGTCTGTGGTTACCCGTTTTCTTAGTTGGTCAATGTGTCTGCGCCACACTCTCCCGTCCCCCATATCTATCCTGTACGATTTGGGCCCCGTGATTTCTGTGATTGTCCCGGCTTCCCAGAGTGGGCCCTGTCCATAGTTTCTAGCGTGAACCGGTGTTCCTATGGTGAATTCTCTAAGCTTCCTCTCCCCCCCCTTGAAAACCTCTGGAGAGTAATTGGGGTTGAGCCTATCTAATATTCCTCGGAGTTTCCGTCCCATTAATAGTTCTGCTGGGCTTCGGCCTGTGGCTGTACAGGGTGTGGAGTGCTGTGCCATTAGAAACTTGTCTATCCTTTCCTGCCAGTCTCCAGGGCTTAAACGTGAAAGGGCCTCCTTTGCTGACCTTACAAATCTCTCCGCCTGTCCGTTACTAGCCGGATGAAACGGGGCTGAAAGGACATGTCTGATCCCTAGTCCTGCTAAGTAGCCCTCGAATTGTGTCGCGGTGAATTGTGGCCCGTTATCTGACACTAGGATGTCCGGTAACCCATGGGTGGCGAATAACTGTCTTAGCTCCCTGATGGTTGTGTCGGTGGTAGTGGCCTTCATTAGCTTGATCTCCACCCACTTGGAGAATGCGTCTACAACGACCATGAAGGTCTGCCCGTGAAATGGGCCTGCAAAGTCAATGTGTATCCTGGACCAGGGTCCCTGGGGCCTTTCCCACTCCCTCACGGGTGCCGTTGGTGGATCTGATCTGGACTCTTGGCAGGGCTGGCATCTCCCCACCCACTCGGTAATGTCTGTATCCATGCTGGGCCACCAGACGTAGCTCCTGGCTAGTCCCTTCATTCTTACAATCCCAGGGTGCCCCTCATGCAACAATGTTAAAACTTTTTCCCGTAAACGTAAAGGAATAACAACCCGATTGCCCCATAGCAAGCACCCCCCTTGCATTGTCAGTTCGTCCCGTTTTCCCGCGAACGGTTTAAATTCCCCGCTCCCAATCTTTTCCGGCCACCCCCTCATGACCCAACTTGCGACTGTCCGGATCACGTGGTCTTTGGTTGAGGCTCTCGCAACCTCGGCTGATGTTATGGGCCCAGAGTCCAAAACGTCTATCAGCAGGATGGGGATGCCGGGTGTGGGGTCTTCTAGGCAGTCAGGTAGTGGGCATCGGCTGAGAGCGTCCGCGTTGCCCATGTCCACCCCTGGTCGATGTACCAGGCGATAGGAGTATGCTGCGAGGAAGATGACCCAGCGTGTCATCCTGGGCGACAGTGCTGCCGGGGTTGGTCGGTCTCCCGCGAGGAGACCCAGGAGCGGTCGATGGTCGGTGATTAGTTCAAAGTCCCTCCCGAACAAGTACTCGTGGAATTTCTTTACTCCCGAAACGGCGGCGAGGGCCTCCTTGTCGAGCTGGCTATAATTTCGCTCGGCGCTTGATAGAGTCCGGGAGTAGTATGCAATGGGCGCTTCTAGGCCATTCGGGAGTCTGTGGCTCAGGACGGCTCCCACCCCGAACGGGGACGCGTCACATGCTAGAACAAGGGGAAGCGTTGCATTGTATTGTATTAAGAAGCTTTCAGCTGATAACAGTTTTTTGATGCCGGCAAATGCCCTGTCTTCAGCCTTCCCCCATTTCCAAATGGCTTTCTTGGTTAACAGTCTATGTAGGGGTTCTGCCACTGTTGCCTTGTCTTTAAGGAAGATGGCGTAAAAGTTTAATAGTCCCAGGAAGGCCTGTAACTCTGCCTTGTCTTTGGGGATGGGTGCTTCTCTGATTGCCCTGATCTTGCTTTCTGTGGGGTGTATGCCGGTGCCATCTACCCTGTACCCTAGGAATTCAACTGAGGGGACTGCGATCATGCATTTATTTCGTTTTACTCTGAGTCCTGCGTCCCTGAATTTCCTTAGGACTCCCCTCAGTCTTTCTCTTAATTGCTGCACATTATCGGCGGTAATGAGCATGTCATCAAAATAGGGCACCACCCCGGGGATCCCTTGTAGTAGCCGCTCCATGGTACTCTGGAAAAGTCCGGGGGCTACGCTTACTCCGAATTGCAAGCGGGTGCACTTAAAGGCCCCTCTGTGGGTTACGATAGTCTGTGCCTCTGTGGTAGCGCCATCTACCGGCAGTTGCTGGTACGCCTGCGCAAGATCAAGTTTTGCGAAGATCTTGCTGGGGCCCAGGGAATGCAACAAATGGTGAACGATGGGCACTGGATAGGCGCTCTGCTGCAGGGCCTTATTAATTGTGCATTTATAATCAGCGCATATGCACACTGATCCGTCCGGCTTTACCGGCGTAACAATTGGGGTCTCCCATTTGGCGTGGTCGACTGGAACGAGCACCCCTTGTTTGATTAATTTGTCCAGTTCAATGTCAATTTTGGGCTTCAGGGCGAACGGTACCCGCCTAGGCTTTAAGCGGATGGGTGCAATATTGGGGTTGAGGTTAAACGAAATCGGGGTCCCCACATACTTGCCCAGCCTTTCGTCGAACACGTCCTGGAACTCCTGCATCAGGTCTTCCTTCAGGGTGCTTCTAACGTTTCTCACTCCGGTGAATCCCATGCCTAGGGCTCTAAACCAGTCCATGCCCAGGAGGCTTGGGAGGTTGTCGCTGACTATGGTGAGGGGCAGTTTCTCGGTAAACTCCCCGTACTTTACTTGGAACTCGCCTTTTCCTTCGACGGGTATGCGGTTCCCCTGGTAGTCCTTCAGTCTGCATTGCTGTGGCTGGAGCTGTCGCTTGCGTGCGCTGGGGATGACTTTCTTTAGGTTTTCCCAAGACATGATGGATATCGGTGATCCCGTGTCGATCTCCATCTGGCACTCCCGTCCCTCGATCTCGACCGTGGTGTAGGCCTTTTCTCCGGGCGAGGTGCAGGTCTGTTCGATGCATATGGTGTAGGCCCCAGCGTCTTCAAATTTCGCGCCCTTCCTGTTTCCGCCATCTCTGTTGGGCCTTCGGTGTGGTGCCAGCTCTGATTGGAAGGGTTGGCCACGTGGTTTGTAGCTCTGGTGTGCCTTGGATCTGCAGACCCAAGCAATGTGGCCCCTTTTTTCACAGGAACGGCAAATGGCGTCCCTGAACTTACAGTTTTGTCGTGAGTGGGGCCCTCCGCAGCTGGCGCATCCGTCTCTGGGCTCCCTGCGGGCTGTGCGGGACTGCTCGGTGCGGTAGACCTCTTCTTCAGACTCCCCTTCGCTCGCGGTGCTCGTGGCCTCTCGGTGCACTGGTGCCATCTTTTGCGTTGTTCTGGTTAAATGGGAGCTCTTTAGTCTCTCTGCAGCCTTTGTTGACAACTCTTGCGCCCTGGCCTCGTCTAGCGCGATGAGTAGGGTCAGGTTTGACCTCGCAAGCAGCCTTCTCTGGAGTCGGCTATCCCTCACTCCGCAAATTAGTTGCTCTAGGAGCATCTCATCCAGGTCTCGGTACTCACATTGGGTTGCGGCCTTACGCAGGGCAGCGATGTATTCACTGATCGATTCGCCCTCCTGCTGTAGCCGTTGCCGGAAATCATAGCGTTGGATGTACTTCGATGGCGTTGGTGCATAGTGGTCTTTCAACAGGGTCTGTAGCGTCGACCAGGAAATGTTGTGGACCGAATTCGGCTCCAACAATGCTTCGGCTGTGTCGAAGACCCTTGGCCCGCAGTGGCTCAGGAACAGGGCTTTCTTCCGCACGTCCGGTAGCCCTTGCATGTCGTTTGCCACCATGAAGCACTCGAACCGAGACATGTAGGATCCCCACTTCTCTTCCTTGGGGTCGAAAGGCGCTGGCGGGGTGTAGGCAGACATCGTTTCGGGATTCTCCTGTGCTCCGCTCGCTCGCCTGGCTGGATTCGGTTGCGGTCTCCGGTCCCCTCTCTGAACGTGGCTTCAGCTCTTTTCTTGAGTGTGGCTTCAGCTCTCCTCTGCTTCTGGCCTCAAAATCCCACCTTCTTCGCCAATGTTAAGTTGGGTGAATGAGGACGCAGCAAGCCAGAGTAGCTCGTGACAACAGCTCTTTATTATATGATGAGACTTCAGCGACTAAACCTGGGAGCCAGCTCCCTTTATATACCTTACAACAGTAGTGGTCAGCCAATCAGCTGAGGGTCAGTTATTTCGAACTTCCCACCAAAACAAACCTATTTACATAACACACACCATGTCTATCTTCTCTCCCCGTTAGAACATTGCCTTCTTGGTTTTTGATCATGGCCATTTTTCAGTCCAGAGTTCCTCGGGCATGCTATTTATCAGATCTAATCCATTAATTCTATTCTTTACCGTCACTGAATTATAAAACGAGGCCGTGCCTGTTAGTCTGCAAGTTTCATTTATGTTCTTATTTGATGTTCTAATTTTGCAAGAAAGAATTTGTGGTCTGAGTCACCATCAGCACCTGGCTTTTTTGTTTTTGCTGATTGAAATAAAAAAAGCTTATTCATCGTTGCTTGCAGAGGAAATCAGTTTGATTTCAGGGTTGTCCCCCTGGTGATGCTCATCTGTAGAGTCATCTATTAGTGGTGTATTGAGGAAAGCCAAATGTAACGCCTCTTTCAAGTCAAGTTCAACATCTATGTTGTGTTCCTGGCAATAAAGCAGAAGAGGTTTGTCACTGGGAAGTTTTGTGGAAAGTCTGTTTTGGCTTCTTAGTCTACCTAACCTATAGCCTTGGGATTTCCTGGTTTTCTCCCATCTAGATACTTAATGGGCCCCACCAGCTTAGGTTTCTAGGTCAGATGAAATCAGCTGGCTGCTGGCACCAAGATATTATAAATTTTAGATCTCCACCCTTTGTCACATCTGTTGCTTATAAAAATGCCTTTCTAAGTCATACTGACTGGGAGTGACTATAGTTACTTTATTGTGAAAACATTTTAATACCCTTTAAATTTTTTTTTTAAAAAATCAATAGTATAACACTGAAAAAGACAACACGACGGGTAAGAACAGATTTAAAACATCACATTGGTCTTCTTAATACACATTCTAGAAACAGAAAGTTATAACTCTAAAGGAATTCTGTATCCTCTTTTGGGACACAGGAGAAAGCCTTTTTCTTTATTTACATTGTCATTTTTTTATTATGCCACATCATCCTCTTACCTCTTTTAAACCAATTCTTGATTATGCTACATAGTCCCATTGTGCTTTGTAGATATGTATAATATGAATTTGGCACAAAATCTGGGCAAGAGCATCAACTAAGCAACAAATTTATGTAGTATACTTTAGAAGGATATCCTCAGCCTGGATTCCCAGCTGGGGGTATCTAAAAAATTGCAATTTTTAACAGCATTTATGTCTTCACCAAGTTTGACTACATCAGCAGTCCTGTTGTGGCCCTTCAGCGGCCTGTGCAGCTAGTAGCTGATTCCGACAGCGAGGAGGCTGGTGTGGTGATGCGCCAGTAGCCTGTGCAGCTGGCACTCGAGTCAGACAATGAGGAGGCTGGAGAAGGTGTGGTGCCAGAGGCGGGGATTCAGCCAGGGCCTTTAGAACCTCCAAAAGCTCCCATGGAGAGGAAGAAGAGGAGGAGCCTCTTCTTGATGCACGAGCGCGCAGAGCTGCCAAAAGGCAGGAGTGGCTCCTCAGGAGGAGGTCTCCTCGAGAGTAAGGCTTGGGGCTAATTGGCCACTCCCCTAGCCTATTTAAGGAAGGTCAACGACTGAGGCAATTTGCAGGAAACAACTTCGTTCATATTCTTTTGCGTCTTGATTCCAGAAACGTCTGATCAGCTCTTGCTTCTTTCTTGTCAGTTTTCCTGCAAATTGCTTCTGGGCATTCTGCCAACCACAGTAAGATTATGGTTATCTGAAATACTGTGCTTCAGAATTGAGTTATTATTCTTTGGATTCTTGTCAGCTGTTAATGAAGTTAAATTAACAGCCCTTGTTCAGAAAAGACTGATTTAAACTGTCCTTGTGTTCGAACAACTACTAAGAAAACTCATTAATAGTCCTTAATTAGTAAACTAAGGTTTGTACGGACTTTGTGTGTGCTGCGTTCTCAGGGGTCCGTAGCTGGGGCAGAACAGGTCCCCATCTTTTCTGGCTTTGTGGACCGTTGGGAGGGAAAGGGGGATGGTTCCATATGAATGGGTGAGTGTACAAGCGCAGGTCCTTTTACGTGAGCAGTGGTTACCCGCTGCTCATGCAAATGGAGCTGCACGCACACTCGCCTGCTGTTTCCATGGCCCAGTTCTGAACGGGCTACAGCCTGGTACTGGGCCATGGCCCAGGAGGTGGGGACCCCGGCCTGCACTACATGTTAGGCACTGGCACAACTGAAATTCCTACTTCTCCACACAACAGTGTCACAGTCTCTCTCTCTCCCGCTCCCTTCATCCCTCTCTCTCTCCCTCTCTCTGACAAACATGTGCATGCAAACATACTTTAGAGTTTTGATTCACAGCCTTTTGTTCCTGCTTTTCTGAATTAACAGATATTTGGCTGGTTGTTTTTTCCCCCCCCTGGTTTTGAGAGGCACACAGTCTATGGTGACCTAATATTGATAGCCTCCAAACTACAGGTTCCTGCCTCACCCAATTCATTCCTTACACTTTAATAGCTTCAATGCGGTATCTTGCAACCCACAACACTTTTGAAATCTGACCCTTTTTAGAAAAAGGGCTGCACATCATTAGTATCAGGAAAATATATTTCTCAGATTTTGTGCCCTCATGGAATCCAGAAAGGGATCACCTCCTTAGAACTAATGAACTACAGCTTGTTGTTCTCTATTTCTGCAACATTTAAAGTATTAGTTGACAATGAAGCAGGAATAAAATTCACCAAAGAAGTATGACCGCTGGCTATACAACTTATAAAAGCCAGGGGATCTTTTTATTATATTATATTATTATACAAGGATTGGATTTTTTTGTTTGTTTGGAAGTGATACTGTAAGATATATTATGTTCATTGAGCAACAGGGGGCCTGGTGGCTCAGCTGAAAGCATTGTGATTAACACCAGCTGTCTGCAATTACTGTAAGTTCAAATCTCACCAGGTTCAAGGTTGACTCAGCCTTCCATCCTTTCTAAGGTAGGTAAATTGAGGACCCAGTTTGTGAGGGCAATAAGCTGACTTTGTATAAATATACAAAAAGTATGAAGGCTATTGCTTAACGCATTGTAAGCCGCCCTGAGTCTCCGGAAAAGGGCGGCATATAAATCAATTTTTTTAAAAAAAACAGAACATCAGAAAGCAACAGCTATATAAAATTAAAGCAGAACCTTTTCTGTGCAAACAGATTTTAAAAAAAGATAGATGGAAGAAAGGGGAACAATGGAACAATAACATGGAGACAAAAGAAATTCATAGGGGGATAATTACAGGAAAGCAATCCTGACTGCAGTTTAGGATTATATTGTGTTAAAAGTGTACTTGGAGAATAACAAGAGTCAATGCTACAGGAAGGGCTACTAAAATAAAAACCAGATGTAATTACTTTGTGCACATGAAAATAAATTGATCTGCAGTGCTAGCAGAATGAACAGTATTATTACCATCTTCCACTTTCTTCAATTTATATTCCTCCCTCTGCAGCTATAAAGTTTTTGAACTTCCACTGTTGAACATATGAACTTCTAAAAAAATCTCTTTCCAGAGGCCTAGAAAGACCGAGTAAGGAAAAGCTTTCCTAAATTAATAAGCATAAATTTTCCCTTTGTGAACATGCATTCCAGAGCGCTAGGTATTATATCTTTTGAACTGTAAAATAATTCCCAAGTCAGATTTATTCTAAGGATTGTATCCTGTCTTTCAATTCTTACACTTCTTTCTGAATCAGATTATCTTCAAAGTGTTTTATATGCAAACTGCACCACCAAAAGTTAATAGGCACAGTTTATTTTTCTGTTCCTGAGATGTTGATAAGGGCAATGGAAAACATTTAAAACATATGCATGCAATATAAAGCTATTTTTGCTAGTGTTTTGCAGACGTTTGAATGCAGGCCTAAGCCACAACTTGGGGTACTTCCAAGTCTGCCACTGGCTGCAACTGCCCCCAACTTGGGGCATTATAGTTATGCAAGTGCTTCTTTAACTTAGAGCAGAGGTGAAAAATATTCACCCTTTTTCAAAAGTAGAATCCTTGTCATCACTTAGAACAGGTTTGCAATACCATCTTGTGACTAAGTTTGATTTATTAGATCCTTTCATTGTGAGGTAAAGATAGCAAAATAGCTGTCAATAAAATGGAAAGAAGTAATGCATAATATGTGGCAAAAGGAATGAGTGAGATAAGTACAGATTCTCCTAATTGCTCCAGCATGCTGAGAATACATTGAAGTGCAGTGAATATCAACCAGAATGGGTCATGTTAGGCCAGCATTCTAACCATAGAACCATATCCATGCATTCCCATAAGCATTAAAAAAAAAAAATCTTTCCAAGATCATTTGTCATCTGTAAAAAAATAATGCCCAAAGATGCTATAGTACTTTCCAATGTTTGTTTTTCTGTAATGCTTATTGATTTTTCAGATATCATGCTCAATTTTTCCTCCAGGAGCAACATTTACTCACTTCTTAAACATTTCCTTACAGTAATAACTGCGTGCAGTAAGTTGGGCTGAGGGATGATGACTGGTCAAAAGTCATCCAGAGAGCTTCCTTGGCTGAGGTGGATTTAAAGAAAGGGGAATCTGGCAGTGCAAAAATTTAATAATTTAATAATTTAGTCAGTAGTGGGTTTCAAATCCTGGTGCTACCGGTTCGCTATTGAGAGCGCATGCTGCTTCTGCACATGCACAGAGTGTTTTTTATGACGTCTGGGCAGATGGGCGGACCCTCCCGCCACCACTGCTACCGAGGTGAATCAGTAGCAACCCACCCAGTGGTGGGTTTCAAAAATTTTTACTACCGGTTCTGTGAGTGTGGCTTGGGGTGTGTGGCCTGGCTTGGTGGGTGTGGCATGGTGGGCATGGCAGCAGAAGGATACTGTAAAATCTCCATTCCCATCCCACTCCAGGGGAAGGTTACTACAAAATCCCCATTTCCTTCTGATCAGCTGGGACTTGGGAGGCAGAGAATAGATGGGGGCGGGGCCAGTCAGAATTTTTACTACCAGTTCTCCGAACTACTCAAAATTTCCGCTACCGGTTCTCCAGAACTGGTCAGAACCTGCTGAAACCTACCTCTGAACCCACCACTGTTCCTAGTCCACGATACTTATGTTCATCTTTCTTTGATCTATAGTGGGGATGTGCCTACAGAGAAGTTGCTAAACTACAATGCCATACAATCTTCACCATTGATCATGATATTTGGGAGTTGCATTTCACCACTGTGTCAAGGTAAATTGCCCTAATACTATTCTTCTCCCATACCCATAGCCATCTGTTTTTTATGTCTATGCATTGAGAGTGGAGAGAATCAGAATTACAGGAGTTACACTAGAAATATGCAGTCGGGTTGTTCAAAACCGTCAGTAACTATCAAGAGGGCCTTCTCTTAAACCTAAACATCTGTGTTCTTGGAAATTACAGATGGTGTCAACTCAAGGTAAACTTGCCAAGGTACAACAATCCCAGCATGAGACTATCTGGAGCCCTCTCTGCTTTAGGGTAACCCTAAAGACTAGAGTTGAAAACTCAGAAAGGAAAAGAAGAACCTTTGACAGAATTATTTCATTTGGAGCAACATCAAACCAAAGGGCTTATTTCCCCTCAACGTAAGTATCAGCTTAGTGTTGGTTTATCACCTCTTATCTTTAATGTCTTTTCATCAGGACAGGTTGAGCCCGGAGTCGTGGGGTTTTCTTTTAATATCCTGCCAATCAGTCTGAAGCAGATTTTATCAGAGGAACATGATGATATTTCATCTCCTGAGCGATGATGAGACTCAAACCTTTTTTGCAATATTATTTGACAAGTGAAATGCATCTCTTTGGTAACAAGGGCTCTGAAAGAGTGACTGATAGCTAAAGAAAGATGGATTTCATGAAGGACCATAGCTACAACTTTTAAAGTTGCTTCCCATTCATTATTAGCTGCTAGATATTTAGTCTGAACTTCAAAACAGACACCTCATAAAGTCTGTCAACTCCAATTTCAACTTGCAAGATTGTCTTCTTTCTGATGCTTCTTCCCTTTAGGTCATCAGAGTGATAAAGAACCTGGCATTGTCCAATGGAGAGCTGGCCATCTTTTTCCCCTCCCTTAAAAACAGCTAAATATTTGGATGGAGAACTCAAATCATTTGCCTCTTAGACTTTTTCTTCACTCTCTGGATTTCAATGTCTTATGAAAGAATTTTGTTTCCTTTCATGAGTTGACAATGCAGCTTGGCTATCATGGAAAAAAAAATAAACTCTGTATTCTGGGAAACATCTCCGCTGCATTTTACAACTTTCTTTAGAAAGTCATAATCTTTGGCATTTTGTCACCTAAGGGTTTAAGCAGGTTAGCACTAAAAAGTTGGGTCAGGTCAAAACAGTTAAATTAATAGAACTAATGACTTCTCCTTAGGCATTCAATTGTTTTTAACTTCTGTCATTCTTTTTTTAAATCAGCAATAACTTTTGGATAGGCTTCCAGGCTTTGGGAAGGAACATGAGGACTTGGAACTTCACATTGGGCATTTCTTTTCTACAGGATAGGTCTTTGCCTCTATTGTGTGCAGGGGTGGGCTGCTGGGGGTTCAGGAGAACCTCTAGCTAAGATTCTGTGCAGTTCAGAGAACCCCCAAATCCCAATCCTGACTGGCCCCCCCGCCCCCCCCACCAAGAGTCCCCATGCGGCCTGTTTTGGATGCAGGTAAGTGCCGGGCGCGCACGGAGACTCGGGGAGGGCAAAAATGGGCCTACCAAAAGTTTGGGAAGGTCGGAAGCGGGCCTGTTTCTGGCCTCCAGAGGGTCTCTGGAGCCTGGGGAGGCCATTTTCACCCTCCCGGAGGCTCGAAAAAAGCCTTCGGAGCCCAGGGAGGGCAAAAATGCCACACACACACCGCCATGGTGCAGGAGGCTGACTAGGCCATGCCCACCATGGCTACGCCCACCCAGCAACCGGGCAAAGAAACCCTTGCTAAAATTTTTGAAGCCCACCCCAGTTGTATGTCTCTTTAACCTGCAGGCTAAACATATCCAGTTTGTTCAAGCATTCCTCTGAGGGTTTGGTTTGAACAAACGTTGATCAATAATGCATGTGGTCACTTTTTCCTGCACCTAATAACTCATAAGCGGGAACATAATAGCAATTCCCACAGGAAAAAAGGAGCAAAAAACTAGGGCTGTACTGGGTTAATTAGTAAAGTGCCTCCTAGTCTAACACAGGATTGCTGACATGGCCCAAAGGGGTAATTACCGGCAAAGTCAATTTATTGTAAAATTATAAAACATGTCTCCTCCCTCTAACTGGAGAAGAAAATGTGTAAGAAAGCAAGCTATTCAGAAAATTTTAATAGCACGATACACTGTATAAGAGGAGTATATAGAATTGTGTAGTGAATGGAGAAAGTAAGCAACAATATGCATTCACAGATTTGCAACAGAGATTTATCTATGCAATAACACTTTATTACCTGTGTTAGATTTTAACTGACTAAGCTGAAACGATATAGACCCCAGGGCATGTAAATGTATCTCAATATATTTTTTTTTAGCCTAAAAGCTGCCTTAAAAGCCCGTGAGTTTAAGCAAAGAACAAGTGGTTATGTAATAACTTCCCCACTGGAAAAAAAATCTACTTAATTTTTTTTTTCATTCTAATTTTATCCAGTAGACTACACTACTATATTCTAAAGTAGTACAGGAGGACTTGTTTTCTGAATATGAAGCTTAGAACTGAATTATAACCAGAATCGACAACAAAGTTTCTGGATATAGAAGTTTCTGAATTTTTTCTAGTGCATTAGAAAAAAAAATGACAATTTATGCACATCCTCCCTGAATTGGGAAAAATAATCTTTTCAAAATCAGACATCTGAACTTTATTTGCATTTACACTCAAGGATAAACAGGGTGTTTTTTTTGTCTTTTGATTTGCCAACGCACCTGAATGCTAGAGGCAGTAAATCTCTGGCCTTTCTTTGTTAACTTGAGATGGCTGATTTCATTTAATTTCTGCTGAAACCAGACTTATGGCGTTTTCTAGACCAGGGATGGGAAAACTGTGGCCCTCTAGATGTTGCTGAGATACAACCCCCATTATCCCTTATTAGTTAGTGATTAGTTAGCCACACTAACTGGAAGTATTAAAGGATTAGCGTTCCCCACCCGAGATAAATATATGGTCTAGTCTTAAGGCAAACTATGTTTCTGGCAAATTATAATAACTGTGAATGTGGACCAGCTGCAAATGCGGTTTTTTTTAATAAAAGTCTTGAAAAAATAGTGATAGATCAGGTTTAGGCATTATGGGATGAAAAAGATTATCGGGAACTGTTTCATCCCAGGATTAGGTTTGAGATTTGATTGAAAAACTTTGCTCTGATGGACAAAGAACCAGGAAAGTGCAGCACTGTTAATGGAGCATGACAATGTAAGTTAAAACTTACATTACACCCATTAAATGGTTTGCCTACACGATGGCTGTCAAGGTTTTGGAGACGATGCAGGAGGTTCCATAAAATAAGTTGTGAACTACTTTTTATAACCATGTCATCCTTCCCTTCTTTAATGAACTCTATCGAAGAATACAGTAGGACTGTAGTATCTGGTTATATTTTAACAAGATGATTCTGACATGAAATCTGAGAATGAAATTCTGAGGATAGCATAATTATCCTATGGTTGTTTTCATCTCCATGAAAACAGTGATGCTATTCCTGATTGCAAATGCATTGTAGCAATAAAACATTTGATTCAGGTTTCCCAAATCTGGTCCTGGTAAAATATTTTTAGACACTGTAAAAATCTTAATATTTTCGGCTAGCACAACGCCTAGCTATGCTTGCTGAAGATAGTACCTTGTTTTCCCGAAAATAAGACCTCTCCAGCAGGGGTAGGTTCTACTTACCTTTACTACCGGTTCGCAATGGGACCGCGCGCAGAAGCATTTTCATGATGTCAGGGTCAGTGGGCGGGGCCTCCTGCCAGTTTTACTACCGGTTCTATGGAACCGGTGCGAACCGGGGGCAACCTACCACTGCCCTCCGGATAATAAACCCAATCGGGCTTTTGAGCACATGCGCTAAAATAAGCCCCCCCTCCCAAAAATAAGCCCTCCCCAAAAATATTTAAATGCTTGGGCAGCCGGTTCCCGCCATTTCCTCTGCTTAGGGTTAGGGAGACAGAGCTGGAAATCAGGTAAGATGACAAGAGGATCCCTGTCTTGCTCCACATGCCCAAAAATAATAAGACCTCCTCAAAAATAAGGCCAAGTGCTTATTTCGGGGTTCAAAAAAATATAAGACAGGGTCTTATTTTCAGGGAAACACGATATTATTATGTATTCATCTCTGTCATTGACAGAATTTTATTAGAAGTCTAGATCTTCTTCCCTTTATGTGACTGATCCTCATGATGGAGGGATTCCCACTGTTTCTTACTCTTTTCGTACTGCACATAAAAGAAAGCGGGGGAAGGGAGAACCCTAACTGGAAGATATTTTTTTACTTGACTTTATAATAAATTTATTTACATCCAAAGGGCCCAAATATAATCTAAATTTTGGCATTAGATAAAGCAGTCTAACCAGTAAAAACAGTTGATAAATATTACACAAAATGTTTTTTTAAAATGCTATTGATTGTGTAACCAAAGACTTTGTTTTTATACCCACAGATAAAAATCTGGTTGTTGCCTCTATAATTTTAGAATTTTCATCTTTGAGCAAAATCTTAACATGCTGAAAAGCATCTCTTCTTTTTCACTTGATAAAAGTAAGACCACCTGATTAGGAAGCACACTATATTGAGAAAGGCTGATTTAATTTGTTGATAAATGAGATATTCTCTGTGTTTTCTCCAATTCAACAGCAGATGGCAGAATTTGAAAACAAAGAAATGAATGTTTCGCCACTGATCTTAGCTATATGAAAAGAATGTCTAGAAATCTTTCTGAAATACATATCCTGTTTCCCGCAAACTAAGACATCCCCTGATAATAAGCCCAATAGGGCTTTTGAGCGCATGGCGATAAGACCAAGCGTTTATTTCAGGGTTCAAAAAAATAGAAAACAGGGTCTTATTTTTGGGGAAACACAGTATTTGGCAAGAAATCTTAAGGACGCTTGCTAATAGGTCAAGTTTGAAAGGGAAGATATATCCTAGACAAACAAGAATTCTGGAATTGACAAAGAAATATATTTAAAAGAGGCTTATAGAGGAATTTAGAACGTTATATCAGATGATGTAACAGGTAAAGATACTCTCAAGTCAAGCCTGACCCCTGCTGGCAACATAGATACTATAATGACATTTTTATGGTGGCAATGCAAATATAAGTTGCCTTCTTCCAGAAGGTTATTTGATCTCCCAATCTAGCCATGCAGGGTTGACCAAAAGGACTAGTTAACTTCCACCATGGCAGTTGCCAAATGTCCAAAACAGTGGTGGGATTCAGCTGGTTCACACCAGTTCAGGCGAACCGGTTGTTAAATCCCACACACACACACACACACACACACACACACTATAAAGTGGATCCTGGGCACTGCACTGCACTGCAATGGAGAAATGGGCAACAGAGTGGCAGGCATGAGGGAAGGAGAAGGCCGCTTTCTTCCTTCCCTCATACCGGTCGGTCCTTTTCCTGTTTCTCCATTGCAGCGCAGCACAGTGCCCAGGATCCACTTTAATAATGGGAGGGGGGATTTAACAACTGGTTTGCCCAAGGTCAGGTTGGCCATCGCGAGAGGATTGTCCCACATGTGCGGTGGAGCTGGAGGACAGGAATGAACCACACCTCCCATGACAGCCAACCTAACCTTGGGCAAACCAAATAATTAAATTATTTGAATCCCACCACTGGTCCAAATGACTGTGGGGATGCTGCAACAATGATGTTATTGCAGTCGTAATTGTGAAAATCAGTCATATGTCACTGCTGGTTGTAACTTTGAATGGTCACTAAACGAATGGTTGTAAGGCGAGGAATACCTGTATTTTGATTGGAAAAAACGATAGGAAAAGAATCCTGCAAGTCTGAGTGTGTTCCTCTTCCCTCAATCATCTTTGTGTGAATTAGGGTGGGGCTTCTCTGAGTTGTTACTAAAATTGTTTCTTGGAATGAACTCAAGCTTCATAAATTACAAAAAAATTAATAATACAGCTAAATCGATAGACAAATATCATAGACATAAAGCCGGAATCATGACCTGACAAAGAATTCTTTTAGCATTTATTACAAAATATAGATTTCCCCATAGTGTACATGTGCTTG